CTCATAACGTAGGCACAATTATTATGCCCACATTATAGATGAAGAAAGTAAGATATGGAGCTATTAAGTAACTTGCCCAAGATTGCACGGCCAATAAGTGACAGAACTGGAATTTGAATATCAGCACTCTAAACCATTATACTACACTCCCTCTCCTATGACATGAGGCATTGGGATATTTTGTAAGAATATTGTCTCTCCCCATAAAATATATGTGATGATGGGAACATTGCCAAATGTCCACTTTAGAATCCCCATATAGCACGTTTCTTTGAAGAAACACGTGTTAGTGTTTTTTTTTTACCCCAATAATTACTAAAATATCACATTTACTTCAGAGACTTAGATTATGTGTTTTTTTAGTCTGTTAGGCAGTTTGGTATTGATAGCCATCTGCCAGCACAGAACAGAGCAGCCAATTTGGAACACTTAGCTTTTTAAAAGAAAATTCTGACTCATCTTTTAGCTTAAAACTAAAACCCAGCATACCTTTTTGTAGTTCAAAGTACTACAGTATTCTTCTCATGCTCCAGTGGCTCATCTTACAAAAGTCCTATGCTCCAGTGGTTTTTCCCATCAAGTGTAGAATTAAATCCAAACTCTGTCCTCTGTGACATTTTAAACATTATATGTTTACAAGGCTGATGTGCTACCAGCTGCAGTAATGGGACACCTCAGACATCATGTTTCAGCTCTAGGATTCAGTCTAGTTCTTCTTCACCTTTGGTTTTTCCTCTTCACTGTAGTTATATTCTTTCTTATGCCCATGCCTGGTCTTATGCTATGCCTCCTACGTGGTCTGTCCTGTAGTCTTCATGAGTCTAAAATCTGCCTTTCTTTTTTGTTTGTTTGGTTGGTTTTTATTTTTTCCAGGAGTATCTTCAGCTCATCCTATCTTTAGGGTGTGCCCCCCCACCCCACCCCCCACCCCCAGCTTACCATTGCTGTTTGTGCATGTGATTTACCTCCACGCTCAGATGGTCCCAGATGATTAGAATGACTGTCCATCCCAGTGCCTTACGCAGGTCTTGCCCAGAGCAGGCAGATACTTAGGAAATACTTGTTAAATTAGTACCTGAAGAGACAGTATAATTTAGCTGACTGCTTGTTCAAGAAGCAGAAATCTTAATTAGAATTTTGCATACCTGTTTGCCTGGCCTACTTCTCTGCTCCCTGTCCCTGGATGAGATGCCATCACCTGACAGAGTACAGAGCCCCCTCCCCTGACCCCCTGACCTCTGACTGTGACAGCTAGAATTAGGGAGATGTTACACACACTTAGGAGAAGGTGCTGAATAATGCAGATGGTGGTATTGTTGTTGTTTGTTATAATTATGTTCTTTGAGTTCCATCTTGCATACTGAACTGTATAATGCCTCAAAGAGCGTTTTAGGAATTAACTATTAGATGGTTGTAGAATACTTTGCTAATTTGTCATATCAGGTAGATGGAACTAGCAATAAAGCGTGTTGGCTTGAGGGATTCAGGGGAAAATGACCCGTGGGCTTCGGTGTATTCCTTTTCCACATATGGGTGTGTTCGCTCACCTCCCCCAGACAACTCCCTAATTGAACTGCTGAGATTGGAGGCTTGCGACGTTCAGAATAAGACCTAACAATACTTGTGTGGGGTTTAAATGGCATTGGAAATCATTACGAGACAAAAAGCTATGATTTCCCCTAGATTAAAATGCAGGTTGGGGTTTGGCATGCCGAAATTCATTGTTTTGGTCTCTAGCCCAAACATGCTAGAGCCATTATATTGTCATGTGGTAATTAGCCGTTCCTTTAATACAAGTAATAAAAATTAAGCCTAAGAGGTACTTTAGCAATGCCTTTTACATAATCCAAAACAATATTCAAATGCTGCAGGCGTTTAGTCATTCAACTGTTCTGTAGTAAAGTTTGAAGTTTAATGCATAGAGATGTTTGAACATTCAGTTCATTCTTTATTCTGTGACCAGTTTTGCTACTTAGGCATTAACCTTTAATGGTGTTAAATTAAATATACATGCCATAATGAATAATTAGGACATTGCCAGAATTTTCGTTTACAATATAATGCTTTGAAAATTTGTCTTAAGGTCTAGTTACCATTCACTTTATAATGTGCATGTTTTTTTTTTACATGCCACTGGACTCCTTGCTGAGTCAAATGAAGGAAACTGTTTTTCATTCGAAGCAGACGTGGTGGGTCCTGGTCTCTTATAAGGGAATAGACTGGAAAAGTTGTTGACAGGAATTTTAGAGATGGGGGGCAATGTAATAGCTAGCTCTTAAAAAATATACCTCATGTATCTACCCAAAAGACACAAAAACACTGATTGAAAAAGATAACCTGCACCCCCATGTTTATTGCTGCTTTATTTACAATTGGGAGAACATGGAAGCAGCCCAAATGCCCAAAAGTAGATGACTGGATTAGAAAGATGTGGTACATATATACAATGGAATATTACTCAGCAACCAAAAAAAAAAGAAACACATGTCTTTTGCAGCAGCTTGGATGGAGCTGGAAAAGATCATGCTAAGTGAGATAAGCCAGAAAGAGAAAGAAAAATACCGGATGGTTTCACTCATAGCAGGAGTATAATGGACCAGGCGAGAAAATAACAAAAATAATGAACAACCATATACCAGAGACATTTTGTGGGGGTGGAGTGGGGAATGGGAGAAATAATCAAAAACGGGCGGGTGGGGAGGGAAGTGCACGGGATTATGGTGATGGCACACGGGTGACTTGGTGATGGGAAACCCGCAGGGACTACAATTGAGATGGGAAAAAAAAAATGTACACAATGATGTAAAAATAAACTGTTATAAAATAATATATATATACACACATACATATACATATATACACACATACATACATATATATATATATATACACCTCGCACTGGCAAGGTTGTACAGGAAAGCCTACACAGGCAAACGGGCAGCAATGCGTGCACAGGCTTCCCAGACCGCTCTGTCAGGTTCAGGCTACACTCTGTAGGAAAGGGCGCCTTGGACACGCGGTTCATTTCCTTCGGGCCCTATACCCAGCACAAAGCCTAAAGCTGGGCATTGGGGGGCCCCTGGAAAGATACTGAAAGTTTGTAAAAATTGTACATGGGATGTTCTGAGGCATTCAGACATTAGTGTTATCACTACTCCTGCTTAGAAGGAACCAACTTCCCAGAATAACTTTAGAAACCTGATTAAATATAAATGTTTTAACACTGATTAAAACAACAATGAAAAGCCTCAGATGAGAAAGTGACGCAGTCATATAAACTGTGTATCCGCCAGAACAGGCGCCCAGCGGCAAGGGTTCACTATGGTCAGCCCGGGTGTGAGCGCAGCGCGCAGGTCCGCCCCCTGCGCTGGCGTTCCCAGTGTCTGCCTGCTGTAAACTCTGCAGAGACACTGGCATCCCAAGAGTGCTTGGCTCCTGGGAGGCGCGCCGGCTGCAGCATGGCAGATCGAGCCCGCCCTTCCGGGAACCAAGGGTGGTCTGAAAAATTAATGACTCTGGTATTTGAAAATTAAGTGAGCTCTTGAATATATACCCGTGTTGATCCACTGGGCTCGGTGTTTAGCATTCCTCAACTGGAGACTAAATCTTTTCAGTGATGTTGGCGTCCATACCAGAAATATCTTCAATAATCTTTTCTAAGCCCAGCAGACGTGGGTCTTCTACTCTCACAGACCCTGAGAATTCCTGAGGAAGTGCTCCAGCCGGTGCCCAGCAGGTGGATTAGGAGTGCCCTGGAGGTAGCAGAGGCAAAAGTAAAAGTCGAATTGACAGCAGAGGGACATTGACTGCTTCCCCGTTTGGTGCTAAGTGAATAGCAAAGAGAAGATCAACAGACAGTGCCTTAAGTTCCTTGTCTGCAATCTCTGACTTTAGGTTAAAAATCCTTTTCTTTCTTTCTTTCTTTCTTTTTTTCCCTAAAGTAAATCTGATGGCAGTAGCACCTTGCATAGGCCTCGGACCTCACTCCCAGGGGCCACTCTGCTGCTCCCCGCACTGTAGTCAGGCATGCAGGCAGACTCCAGGCTGGCCGGGCCACTGGTGGAGGACGGTCCAGCGCCCGAGTCTCAGCCAGGTGTCTAGGGAATGGTAACGTTACCTGGGGCAGAAACCTAGGCTTTTTAGTGTTCAGTCTCCAGCCGCTAACCCCAGACTCCCCATGAGAGTCCTCGTGAGTGAAGGGCTGTGGTGGAGTGAGGGTGTTCTATACACTCTAGCACCTTCCTGGCTAAGGACCACCCCTGGGAGGAGACCATTCTGGGTGGCTTGCTCTCTGTCCACCAGCCAACCGGAAAGCCCCCCGCAAGCCGCTCCTCTTCCTGGGCCTAAATTTGCTCCTCTGTGAAAAGAAGCATGTCTCACACCTCTTTTCCCTGTGGTGGCAGGGCTCTGATACTAAGCTATCCGTAGACGCGTTTTGTAGCTGTAAGATGCTCAGGGCGGCAGGCTTTAGTCCCAGCCTTGTAGAATGATCCGGAACTGCAGCTCTTGGCATCTGCCCTTGCACTGCCCATCCTCACGTGCAGCGCTGGGCAAACCGTGGCTTTTCCTGGCGCTCCCCACCCCTTGCCCCCACCCCCTCCACGATGTGAATCTCCCTCCCTGTCACATCAAAGAAAGAAAAGTCATTCTGGGCCAGAGTAGCTGGCAGATCCCAGTGAGTCCAATCATTTTCACACGTTGAAGACACTGGGGTGGGTCCCTGGGCCACGTGCTGGCTGTAGCCTGTGCACATGTCCTCTGCAAGCCACGGACAAGCACCCTTTCAAAGAAGCGGGGGACTTCGGGAGACTCGAGGCCACAGAGAACTCAAGGCGGGCCTGCTGGGGGTCTACCTCGACCCTCAGCCACCTGACAAGTGGTGGCAGCAGCTGGAGGCTGGCTTCCTGCGTGCCCCGGAGGCCTGCTCCAGCGTCTGTGTGACATGCAGGGGCTGACCTGTGTCCAGAGCAGGGTGTGATGTGTTTGGGCCTCTCGTGCAGATCCCGTGCCAGCTCTGGACCTCGGGCAGCAGCTCCAGCTCAAGGTGCAGCGCCTGCACGACATTGAAACGGAGAACCAGAAACTTAGGGAGACTCTGGAAGAATACAACAAGGAATTTGCTGAAGTGAAAAATCAAGGTTGGTGGAAAAGACTTCCTTTCACTTGATTTTCTTTCTTTCTTTCTTTTTTTTTTTTTTTTCATTTAATTGCCTTCTGCATACTGTTGGGACTAGCTCTAATTGTAACAGACGTCATAAAGTCAGGGTGGGGCAAGAATCAGAATCGTTAAAGAGATAATAATAATGCTCAGCCATTTAGAAGTCAAACTTTCCCCCTGCACAATAACTACACAGGATTTTATTGCCCTCCGACGGGACTGATCAGGATTCTTTTAAAATTCTTCCTGTGTCATCATGTGATAGGATCTGCCTTTTAAAAGACGGATGTGTTGCCTGCGGGTGACACCTGTCAGGGAGCCAGCTTATGATCAAAGGGTCACATGCAGTCAGTCATTTAATAATTGCTGCCAATACATTAAGGCTGAGCCGCGTCCCTCCAATCTGCCTGCTTAAGCAGTCTTCGCTCCTTGTCAGCCTCACCTATTCATTATGAACTTAATGAAAGAAAACAACCTCTTGGCGTGGTTGTCCAGCCATCAACAAGACAGAGAGGGCAAAGGGTGCCTGGCTTTTCCTGTCAGGGAAGAACAAAAATCTCTCCGACACCAAAACTCCAGAGGTGATCTGGATTGGCCAGCGTCGAGGCTTCCTGGTCTTAGAGGAAAGCCACAGCCCTGTCTGACAGCAGCCAAGTCCAAGTACAGCACGGCCTGTCTTTGCTCAGAGGCATGGGTAAGGAAGGACTCGGAGGGGAGGCTGCTTGCTGGGTGCCTTCCCCACAGTGGCCTTCTGCTTAATACACTTCACTGGCCAGAAAAAGAATGAAATGATGAGGATTTTTAAAATTTTTTAAGAGCGTCCCTTGCTTTGAGACCAGGGGAGACAGGCACATGAGGAGGATGGTCCACGGAAAGGATCCAGGGAGAGACTGACGAGGAGCTGGGAGGCTGCAGGCCAGGGCACGGTGGGCAGAGTCCCGGGGCCCTACCCTAGGGGCCTGGGGGGCACAGCTGAGCGGTCAGCCTCTGGCACTGACAGGGGTAGCTTTGCTCTGCTTGAAAACGAGGCATGGAACTTAATGGGCTGGGATCCAGGCAAGAGAAGGTGCGCCCACCCCTGCACCTCCAAGCAGGTTGGTTGGGTCAGAATCGCCCAAGGGCACAGGTGAAGATAACTAAATACGCACACATGGCTTCACCACCCAAAAGGGACCTTCTTTCTGCTTTCCTTCCACTGACCTCTGATGCCTCATTTCGACAGATCCACTCTTTGTGTTTCCTTTAGTTTGTTTTGGTTTTGTTAGAGAACAGTGTAGGTGGGGCCCTGGGCACACACACCCCCCTGATCCCCCCCACCGTGCCTCCCTCTCAGTGCCTCCAGGGCCAGTTGCCCAATTCTAGGTCTCTCAAGGAGCCATAGCTGAGTGTGGGACCTTCTCCCCAAAAGAAATACAGAGTTCAGGACTTAAAAACAAAAGTCCACAGGCAGACAGACCTGTGCTGGGTCTCTTCACTGCCAAGCTGTATGACCTTGAGCTAGTGTTTAAAACCTCATCCTCCTGGCTGGCCTGGCGGGGAGGTTCTGGTACTAACCTTACGAGGTTGTTGCCGCGTTCAGTGAGTGTGTGCAGGCAAGGCGTTTGGGGTTATTTCACCACAGTAAACATCAGCTGCTCTTACTGAGCGCTGTTTTGGATTTTTTTTTCCCCAAAAAAAGTCACCCCCACATTCCTTTAGTTCTTGATAACTTACCAGACTTCCCCAATCTCTAGAAAAATGTCCACTTCTCTCCATTCTTCTAAGTTCAAAAGTGGTCAAGTTCAGGAAGGTGAGGGTGCCCTTACTTCACTTGTTATGATCATCACAGCTGTAGTGTAGATGGCAAGAAAGGAATTTTGAATTTCTTTACCATGTGACAGAGTTCTCCCCTCATCGAAGTCATCCAACTTAGAGGAGTCCTATGGGCCCCAGCTAGAGGAGGACTTCAGTGCCCTCCACACCAGACTGTCCTCCCGCTTCGCCTGTTGACATGCCGCTGGGATCCCCAGGGATCACCCTGAACCCAGGTCTGGGCACTGGAGGCTCCCAGATGAGTCATCCACTGGTTTAGACTGAGCTAGTCAGTGAGGAACCCAGTTGGGGTGGCACAGAGACCTGTGAGACAGAGTGGGGGCCACCAGCAAGTGCCCAGGCCCCCTGGAAGGAGCATAGAGGGCACACTGGGGGACCCATTGGGGTGAGCCCTGGGGTTGAGGGGCTGTACAGATGCTTCTACCAGATCGTTCAAGGCAGAACCACCCCATCCACGTGGCCTCCGGACCACTGACTTTAAGAGAATGCAGCCATTTCAGAGCTGACTTCTCTTAGGGTCCACTGGGAAATGTCCACTCTTGCTCAGCTTCACTTCATCAACATGGCTTGAGAACAATGTGTCGTTGCTGACCATCATGCTCTGAGAACATTGCTTTCAGGCCCCAACCACCAGCCCAAAAAGCAGAAAAAGCCCCATTCTTCTTGCAGATGCCCCTGCAGGGTCTTTGGTTTTAAGGAGGCCTTTAAGGAAAACCTCCTGGTGCCACTTAGTGGAAAGGGCGCCAGGCGCCAGTTTCTTTTAACAAAGGAGCTGGTCACTTCTGTGCACTAAGCCGGCTGGGAAGGAAATGCCCGAGGGACGCCCTGAGGAAGAAGGGCCACCAGTGCGGGCTCTCACTTGGGCCAAGACCTGGCAGGGGGCATTGCCCTATGAGCCTGGGGCCCCACTGCATAGCCCTGAATGGGCTCCCCTTCCGCCTGGGCCAGGTGCTGGGGCCACAGAAACCCTCAGCATCACCTTTGGCCAGGTGGGTGTGTGCACAGCCATTGTGGTGCCCAGGACCCCTGTCTCCATAGAGCTGGACCCCAGCACTCTGCCTCAGACCCTCTGGCCCAGCTGGAGTGGGGTGTCTGGGAGGGAACAAGTGGAGCAGTCCTGCTCTAGAGCCACCTCTGGCAGAGCAAGCCCGCCTGTCCACTAAGTCAGCCGTGGCGCTCCCAGTCAGGTCGTCGCGGTGACGGCTGTTAATGGGGGGCCGGCCTCTTCGGGCCGCTGTATACTGAGTGCTGGCCACTGCAGGCTCCCCACCTTCTCTCCTGCTCACTCCCACTTGTGGTGCTCTCCAAGCTGTAACCTGGTGGAGGAACTCTTGGCCCCTGAGCTCCAGGATGGGCGCCTTCCAGCCGAGGCCTCCTGTGACACTGCCTACAGTAGGGGGAGCTGTAGTGACCCCAATTCTTCTAGAAACTGTGCCCAGAATATGAGCAACTATGAGCTGCTTTCTCTGTAAGAAAGTACTTAAACCCACACTAAAACTTTATTAATCTTCCCTCAGTAGGGGACTAATTTAAGACCCATCGATAAGATGATATTATATTTTGCCATTGATCCCCCCCCTTTTTTTTTTAAAGCTGTCTTAGAGAAAACCATAGCTCTGCTTCCCAGCAAAACCCATTGATCCCCCTCAACCTGAACGTTTAAAGTTCAATTTAACATTTAGGGAGTAAAAGGTCTCCAAAGGGACTCATAACCATTGATTTTGTGTCAGAGTCGAAGAGCTAAAGTTTAAAACAGACCGATCCTACCAGGTTTCGAAAGCCTTGTATATATAGCCATGTGAAATTGTGCTGCTCTTACTGTCTTTTATTTTTTTCTTTCCGCAGAGGTTACGATAAAAGCACTTAAAGAGAAAATCCGAGAATATGAACAGACTCTGAAGAACCAAGCTGAGACCATAGCTCTCGAAAAGGAACAAAAGTTACAAAATGATTTTGCAGAAAAGGAGAGGTGCGTGTGTGTTGGGGTTTGCACTTCCTGGCTAACGTTTTACCTTAAACTTCGCTTTACAAGATAGTTTTTAAAAATGTACCTGTGAAATAAGCCCAAGGCTCTAAACCAGAATCCTAGGGGGACTGTTTTGTCTGGAAAACAAAGGTGTTGCTCACTCTGCGGTTTGGGAGATGACCGCGAGCGGACTGCGGTCAGGCGGCCCTGGGGGTGTGCATCCAGACCTCACATGTCCGAGGGGTGCACGCAGGCCCAGGTGGGCTCGCGGCAAGCTGAGATGAAAGGAGAAGAGGAGGCCTCCAGGGAAGCCTGGGACACACACTGACCTGCAGCCACCTCCTTGAGGGAATTATGCTGCTTGACCTCACGCACGCATGCATGCAGCCTTCAGGGGTTTCAGCTTGGGTCTCTCTATCGGCACTTTGCACGGTTTCCTAGATCAAGGACTTGACATCAGTGATATATGTTACTGCACCATCCAGTTTTAGTTTTCTGATGGCCTACTTCACATGGAACTTGCATGTGATGATTTAATGAAACTTGGATGTCTTGTAAACAAATCTATGAAGACTAGTCAGTTAAGTGGTTAAAAATGAGTTTTTTTTAGAACCATGGTAATATTAGGATTTTAAACTTTAACCCCATCATGAAGAAATGTGTGACTCCATTAACAAGAGGTTCTTAATGTATGGTCACGGGTAAGAGGCCAGGCTGATGGTGGCTTGGGATTTTGCTCTGTTTCCTGTTGACCTCTAGTGCAGCTACTCTGACTTCCATGAGGGGGCTCCATGAAGCACTCAGGTAAGTGTGAGGCCTCTCGAATGCCGTTAGGCTGGCTTCAGGCAGGCAAGTATACTGACTCTGCTTACCTAGTGCCCACTGTTTTGGCCAAGCCTCTCTGAAGGCCTGTTCACTGACTACCCACATCAGACCTGCAGAGCAGATGGTCCTGCTTTACAGACGGAGAAGCCGGGCCTCAGAGTGGGGCCCAACCCAGCCAGCACTGCAGTCCTGGCTTCCTCGTGTGCAGACATGGCCTCCTGAGGGCCTCACTTTGTAGCCAAGGCCAAGCTGCACCGCTGAGGGGACCCACCCTGGACGGAGAGTGGCAGGGCTCAGCGCCAGGGCAGAAGTGAGTGACACAGGGCCTTGGCTCTCTGAAAGAGGGAAGCCATACCCCAGGAGGTATGGGCTTGGTCCCAAACGTTCCTCCCAGGAATGCACTTTAAGCCCAAGGAGATTTCTGGGGATGTTATTGAGAATGGGGGAGGCAGAGATGCAAGCGATCAGAATGCCCTGCCGGTGAGAAATGGGGGGATAAAGTATGGGCCACCCTTAACCGGGGCAGTGTGCAGCCCCTAAGGTAATAGTTACATAAAATTCACAATTACATGGGAGATGTGTCCCGCGTGATATGAAGTGAAAAGTGCTTGATTCAAAATAATATACAGTGTGATTACATCTGCAGAGTGCAAACTTACTGGATTACAAAATTGTGAAAACAAAATCATGTGATGTCTCACATTAGGTAAAAGAATTAGCTGCATTAAAAGATTTGAGAACTGACTGACCATTGGGGGTGGGATATAAAGCTAGATCTTTACCCTCAAGAAACTGAGATGAATCTGGGATTCAAATACTAATGATCATATCTTACACATCCTGGAAGACTTGGGGGCAAATACCTTGTTTTTAATACTTTTGGAGTGGAACATCCATCTAAGCAGAAAAGAAAGTTTATATGACTACCCAAAATTTAAAATAGATTTTTGTAAACAAGTAACAATAAGCAAAGTGTTTAAAGCATGAGCAAACCAGGAATAAAGAAAAAGGGCTGGTTTTCTTTGTATACAAAGAGCTCTTAGAAGTTAATAAGAAAAAAAAAATGAATCTATAAAAAGATGAGTAAAGGCAAGAAGGCAGACAGTTCATATGCAGAGAAATGCTCAGCTTTACTCAGCAGTAAAATTGAGTCTAATTTTACCCAGTGTTGGCAGTATGTAGGAAAACACTCACATGTTGTTGGCAAGAGTTGAAGTTGCTGAGGTTTTGGGGGGAAGCTTTTCAATATCTCTCAAAACAGAACAAAAAAATGCACATACCCTTTGACCCCTGTAATTCCTCTCTTAGTATTTTACCCGACAGATTGGCTCACGAAACGATGCACCAATATATATCACTGGAAAATTGTTTAGTAGAAAGAAACTATAGCCAATGCAGACATCCTTAGAGGCTTGATTAAGTTAATTATTTGCTGGGGTTGAGGAAGAGCTGTGCATATGCTGGAGTAGAGTTCCCAGGGTGTGGAGATCAGTGGAAAGCAGCTACAGAAGGCCACCTGCACGTGAGCCCTGTGGACTGAAAGGAAGGGTTTACTAGAAGGACTGAACTTAACTGTAGCCTGTTGCACTGTGTTTCTGTACGTACTGAAAGAGCTGCGTCTGGAGAGTATATCTCTACTCTGATGAAAGAAGAGGACTTTTTCCCCTTCCATGCTCTTGTAATATTTGTGGGTATTTTTTTCTTTTAAAACTCAGACCATATTTTAGTTTTATCATTGAATGTTTGAAAATGAAAGCAGTCTTTCTCCATAGGTGATAGAAATTTGGGTGAATTACGAAGTGTAATTTCTACTTCGCTGTATTGCCAGGTTTGTTATTATGAGAACATGTGTTATATTCATATGTTATAAAAATAATAAACTTATTTTTAGAGATTTTCTGCAGATTAGGAAAAAGGAATGCTATTTATTGACCAGGGAATTCATCTGGAGATCATGGGAAATACAAATATGTGGAATGTGGTTTCCAACATTCAGAATTTCCCCATTAGGTACTGCAGCCGAATTTGCATTCCATTATAACAGAAATGGAACAGCTGTCACATCTATTTAGTACATCCTTTATTCCAACAAATTCCTTCATTGTGTCAGCAAAATGTAAATGTATCATTCTTCTCTGGCTGGCTTCAGGAAACAATGAGTACATGACGATTTTTTTTTTTTTTTAAATATCTGGCATTTCAAGAACAAGTTACATTTAGGATTACCTTCCATATCAACTACCACAGTCAAGTCCTACAGGATGCACCTTCACGTTACGTAACATGGGTGCAGGACCGGGTGTTAAAGGTCCCCAGGCAGGTTCCCTGGTGTTACAAGTGACGACCCGATCGCTGGCTGCCCGGGTTACAGTGAGGGTCACGGCTGTTTCAGTTCCAAAACACACAAGATATTTAAACTGGTAAACAAGATGACCAATTTGGCTTGCTTTTCTTTGCAGAAAGCTGCAAGAGACACAGATGTCTACCACCTCAAAGCTGGAGGAAGCGGAACACAAAGTTCAAACTCTGCAAACAGGTGTGATGTTCTTCCTCCCAGTCAAGTCAGCGCGGGAAGGAGTAAAATGGGGGAGGCTCAGGTTCAAATCCCTGGTTCCCCCAGGTCCTCTCTGACACCTGTTGCCTTGCCCTGTTGAGCCCCAAGGAGCTGAAGAGAACCCACGCTCCAGAGCACCTCAGAGAGCCCCCATCTCCGTTCATTAGTCACCCACACGGAGTTGTCAATGCTGAGGTGGGAGGAACTGAACTGCATTTCCATCCCTTCCACAAGCCGTCCTTTCTTCCAGCAAACCCGTCTAAATCACCAAACTGTCAAGGACTGACATTTCATTTGGAACAATAATAGGGGGAATAAAAATTATTTCCACCCTGAGAGAAGTTAAAGAGAACAGTAAGAACAGACCTTTGAATTTTAAAAGACACAAAAAATGGTTATACTAAAGTTTTTGTTTCTTTAAACATTTTTTTCCCCTGAAAAGGAAACAACACTACATATTTAATTTAAATGTGGAGCAAAAACATCACAATCCAAGTTAAAACCCAGAGGATGGAGCAGGGGGAAATAATCACAACAAATTTACAGACAAATGAATAATAGAAGCACCTCCTCCAGCTCAGTAAAAAGAGATCAGCAGTCCAGTAAAACAGTGAGCTAAGGAGGTGAACAGGCAGTTTGCAGAAGAAATGCACATGGCTAATATACATTTGAAAAAAAAAAATGTTAGCAGTTTTTAACAGTGAGACGCTAATTAAATCAGTGAAAGATTGTTTTGCCTGTCAGACTGTCAAAAAAATTTTTTTAATTGATAGTGGAGAGCCATAGGAAAGCAGTCACACTCACTGGGCTGATGGGAGGGGGCGGCCGCTGGGGAGGCTCGCTGCGGCATTGCTCTGAAGGTGGGGTCTGCACCCCGCTGCCAGCACCTCCCCCGGGGAGTGTCGCTCGTCCCTGGCAGGCGACGCGCTCACACCGGGCCGGGGCACTGTCCTGTGTCCTGACGTGGCCACGCTGTACTGCTAAGGGAAAGGACACATCTCAGAAAACAGCATCACCCCGTGCGGGGTGGTGAAAATGTAGGTGTATGTGCCGCAATTATGGAAATTGTTTCTAAAACAGTAAAGTTTACAGAGCTGGAATTTAAAGCAGGAAGTCTGCGTGCCAGGCCATCCACAGTGGCCGCCTCGGGAGGTGCAAGGGACAAGGTGGTGGCAGTGAGGGGGTGGACTTTCTGTCTCTGAAGCGGCAGCGTGTTGCTTGCATTTCCCTTTTCTAATTTAATCTAACCGGTACCTTATCTTATGCATTTCAGCCCTGGAAAAAACTCGAACAGAATTATTTGACCTGAAAACCAAATATGATGAAGAAATTACTGCCAAGTAAGTGCTCCCTGGCCTCCGCCGGCTGCTCGCCTCAGCCCACTCGCTCGTCTCACTAGTCCGTTCCGCTGTCCTGACCCACCGTCCTGTCTCTCGGCTTGGCACACCAGTGGTTCGGGGCTTAGAAGGTGCCTCAGAACTCTGCGCTGCTGAGAGCGTGGGGTCCTTGCCATAAGTCGCTGGCGTTGGTTTGACACCCGTGACGGGCCCCAAATCCTAGCGCACTCAGAGCGGGCCTTCCAACGCAAGCATTTTCCCTAAATCATTCTGGGATCTGGGCAACCCTGCTCAACCCTGGTCAACGCTGTGCCTTCCTCTAAGAAAGCTTAGAGGAGAGTTGGCGTCCGGCGGTGTGATCAACGGGAAGCTTTGTGGGTCTGCGCCGATGGCACCTCCTCTTACCTGCGTCTGAGTCCTTCGCCACACGCAGGCAAGGATTTGCTCCGTCACCCTCTACAGCGCTGGGCGGATCCCGGGCTTGGGGCAAATGTGCAGATTTGGGTGGGTCTCCCACACAGGGGCTCAGCGGGTGGAAACCAGCCTTCCCTCTCCCCTGAACACCAGAAAGGAAGGAGTGAGAGTGACGTTGGCATAAATCAAGAAAGAGGAAGGCGTGACAGCTTGTCACGCCACCAGGCCTTGCCCTGCGCTGGCGCCTGCTGGGGGCCACACATACACAGCCAGGGCCCCGGAGCCCGTCAGGTCTCGGCCTCCAGTAAGAAAGATCTCCTGCTGTGCCCTCGGGCCTCGGGGCGCCATGAGAAGGGGTATCTCTGGACAGTGCTCCCTCCTCCTCGGGCCCTGTTCAGTGTGGAGTGCCGGTACTCAGGTCGGTCTGCCTCAGCACACTTGCCCTGGCCGTTGAGGCTGCTGCTGTGCCGGCTGCTCTCCAGGCCCGGGTGGGGTGCATGGGCTCTTGACCTTTGCTCCAGTTCATGGAACAACTGGAGGCCTTGAGCCCAGCTCTCCCAGGCCTGGTGGTCAGAACCAGTTCTGCTCTTGAGCTCAGAACTTCTACCCAGAGACCAAAATATCCTCGTCAGTCTTGGCAACCCTGACCGACCTGCTGGCATGTCTAATCCCAGTGGAAACAGCCAGATCATTTTACCCTCTCTTCTCAGTGTGCTGATGTGTGACTTTAGGTGAGGCAGCTGGTTCTACAGTACGGTAGCATGACAACTTCACTTTGCAAACCGGAGGCTCTGATTCCTTAGCCCGGGGCACGCTGTAGGAGGGCTGTAGGTGTGTGGATCCGCCCTCCCCTGTGAGCCACCACCCCACCCCCAGCCTACCCCCCAAAGATGTAACTCCACAGTAGCCACACCAGCAGCTGCCACCGAGACCCAGAGGGTCGGTACCTGACCGGCCTTCTGCTGGCCTCTCGTCCTCATTGCTCCTTCTGTCTGGACTTAATTCTACTGAGTAGATTGATTTTTCTCAGTAAATTTAAAAAAAAAAAATTTTTTTTAATTAGATTAATTGGATACATAGCTCTAGCCATAGTTGGTGGCATTTCTATTCTACAGTAGTTTGTTCTGTGGACATTCCATCACCCTCGCCACTGACTTCATGACAGGATTCATAGGACCTTGGTGGGGATTTATTTGGCTACTAGTTTCCGTTATTTTGTTGAGCCGCATCTCTTTTAAAAAAACACAGACACATCTTCTGTATCTAGAATTAACCAAAATTTACTATACTATGCACTCACCAAAAAAACAAAAACAACAAAAAAAAAACCAACACCCGATGGTGCAAGCAGCCAGCCTCTGAGCCCTGCACAGCCAGTGTTTGCCAGACTGGCTTTCTGGGGCCGCAGAAATCAGTCTGGTGAGTGGCAGCCACCTGGTTGGGAAAAGAATAAGAAAAGTCTCAGCACATAGTAAAGTTCACTTTTGTTTTGTGACACTTTTGATTATGTATATAAATCTAAAATATGAACATACAAGTATTGGGTCACAGTGTAAAATGTTGCTCTTCCTGTGGATTTCAATCAGAAACCACTTTGAAAGCCACAGCTCCGAGAATCTAAAAGCTCGCCCTCCCGAAGCCAGCCCCCCGTGCGCGCCCCACACCCCTTGGGGGTGCTGCTCAGCCACCGCCATGCCCTCGTCGGCGCAGAGAAGCTTCCTGATGACATGAGGCATATCCCAAAGCCGTCAGGACCGACAGCAGAGGCTGCCATTTGCCGCGCAGGGCCGCACACTCCCCTGACTGAGCGTCATCTCTCACGCGCTTGCTGGGTGGCTCGCTCGCTGTCTGGGATGGTACCGTCCACTCGTTTGTTTTGGCTTGGGGTTTAAAGAAGCAACACAGCAGTGAACCCCAACCTCAAAAGGACTTAATTCTCCTCTACACACAGGTTCCCATCTTCCCTACGTGGGAATTGGGTGCAGGGGAGATGATGGGGAGAGAGCAGGAGGGAGGGGGGCGCCCCGGCCAGACCCCAAGCCAGGCCGACCTGGGGATGACACAGCCAGGACACCACTTGACAATGAGCAGCCCCCAGGTCCTCATGCTCCCTGGGGTGGGACAGAGGTGGCTCTGGAGGTGGCGATGATGGTTTTAAGTCTTTACCATGTTTCCAGCGACTGTTTATAGATAGGCTGACTCCTGGTCTGTCCTCTGTCTTTTATAAGAACATTAGCTCTTGGGACAGTCTCCTGAATCAGCAGCATCGCCCAGGAGAACTCCTCACCCTGGACCACTCCCAGACTGTCAGCCCACTGGGCTCTGGTGGGGAGGGGCGGTTACTGGTGTGACTCAGTGAGAAACTTTCCTGGACTCACAGGTTCTGTCATATCAGAGAGCCCTCAACATTCCTCTCTCCCCACCCCCAATCCACAAGAGAAGGAGGTTCTCTAGTCTCCGTGAGGAGTCGGGAGGTGGGGGGCAGCAGTGGGTGTGTATGAGCACAGGTCCATTGGAGAATTCAGTAGACGTCCCTAGAGCCCTCCTCTGTGCCTTGTCCTGTGATGGGTTCTGGAGAGCCAGATAAAGGGGCCGTTCCAACCCTGCGTGGTCACTGCTGGACAGAGAGGACAGGGCCCTGTGCCAGGAGGCCGCACAGACCCTCTCCCCTGTCAGTCAGGGTCCCCCAAACAAGGAGAATCAGTAGAGGGCGCAGGGTTGGGACCATTTGCCAGGCGGGGCACTCACCCTGGCCATTCTTCACCGCACACAGGTCGAGGGGCTGGTAGGAGCAGCTGGAACTGGGGTTGGGGTCTCCAGCAGCCTTCCTGCCCACCCCACCGGTGGAATGAAAGGAAGGAGTTGTCAAGGGGCTTTCACTTGAGGCTGAAAGATGAGCTCAGGTGAGGGTTGCAGGAGGCCAGAGGTGTGTCGTTTGTGAAAACACAGGGTTGATGTGCCAGAGGACCACCCAGAAGTTCCAGATGCTTCCCCGTAGGGGCAGGTGGGCATGGTGGGCGCGTAGGGGATAGACCTCTGCTCGGCAGGGACCGGGCATTTCCCCAGTCAGAATGGACTGAATGCTAACAAAAGGGCCTGCGGCAGAACACTTACTGTAAATAGTTCCCCGAGAAAGTAATCCACAAAAAATGTAGAGAATGGACTGAGATAATAATTGCTACTTTCTTTTAACTTTGGAAGCAATTGCTTCAGTCTCAGAGATCCCAAATGTAGCTTCCCCCTCCGCATTCCTCACCCCTTTTATTTTCTGGGAAAGGTTTGTCACTTTACCATCTGTTTCAGGCCCAACCTACATATATTTTGTTAGACATTTTTGTTAATACATGTGAGCATAAACCCACCAGGGGCAAATCTTTCCACTAATGGTCTTAAAACATTTCAGAACAATTTATTTTATGTTTTTGAAGGGGGGGCAGTTCTTAAATATCTGTTGACAGAAAGCATCATTAAGGGCATGGGGAGGCATAGTGGAATGTGGGCTAGAGAAGACAGATCTGGTGGGGTGACTGGGGCCCCACTGCTCACTGCCTGTGTGACCTGGGATAAGCTCACTGCTGTCCCTGTCTCACTTTTCTTTCCTGTACAGCAGGCATGGCAGTAGTCGAGACGCAGGGTGCTTGGGAAGGGCAGAGAGAAGCTGAGTGTGGCCGTGGCCGCTGTCACTAAAGAGCTGTGAACTGTTTTAGTGTCAACAAATAGATGTTCGCAGTAGGGCCTGGTGTGCTGCGTTTATGAAATTAGCTGGCCTTGGGGAAGGCTGACCTGCAGGCCCTCACTCCCCCATGAGATTTGAAGAGCACATGTTGCCTCTGCCTCTTTGTCTCTGGGACACGTCACCCCATTTTGGAAAGAAGCAGGCTGAAGGCATGTAACGAGCCCCTGGTTTATTGCGCATAGTCACCGGCCTGCGTCAGCTGGGACAGCGCAGGCTGCCTGTGACGGGGCGGCAGCAGTGAAGTTTTCCATGTGTAGGCTTGAAGCAAAGTGTAATTAGCCTTTATGTGCAGAACAAGGACCCATTGATGAATACAGCTGGTCTTTGTTTTGTCCTGTCATTGAGAGTGGGAGGTAAAAGTGTTCTTCTTCATGTTTATTAATGCAAGATTCCTTAGACAAATGGCAAGCACAGTTTAATATTTGTTGGAACATGGTGGTGGGGGGGTTGTTGTGTAAGAGCATTGCAGGGTTTCGGAATAGAACCATTTTTGGGTTAAATAAATGAATTATTTCTCTGGCTTTTTTTTTTTTTTCTTTCTTTTTTAAATGCCTCCTCTTCAGATGGTCCCCCATGTAGCGACCGCCCCTCAGTAAACAGAATGTAGCCCCCTGAGTGGCTCTGACTTGGAGAGTCCAGCAAAGCAGAGTGGTGTCCATTCTCAGACTTGAGTGGCTCTTGGGTGACCTTGGAGGCGCGCTGACTGCTCGTGGCCTGCAGAAGCCAGCCCTAGCCCGGAGGCTCCCTGTCTCTCGGCACTGGTGGTCAGGACACCGGCGTTCTGGGCAAACTGGAGGAGTTCCCATGTTCGCTCAAATCCATGACCACCTCTTTGCTCTATCCCCCAGAACCC